GAGAACAGCACAAACGTGGAAATCGAGAAATGTAACACCGACGACGACGATACAGAAGAGGAGCAAATGGAAGATTCTATTTCTCCACTGCAAATAAATAAAAGACAACGTGAATCAGAGTCAACGGACACAGAAACAACAGCATCCTCGCGTCGTAAAAAAAATTAGCGACGCCAAATATCAAAGGCTCCCGTAGTGCGTTCACCCCGAAATCAGCACATAGCAACAGTGTAGTATGCAAAGAGGGTAAGGTTGACAATGAATAATGGATAGTTATGTAATACTACTTCTCTGCCTTAAAATGGCAGTGTTAGCTTCCATTAACGCCAATGGCTTATGTAATGCCGATAAAATTCAAAATAGTGTACATCTATTTAAGAAATGTCATTATGATATTGTCTGCATTCAGGAGATATTCTGGTCCTTGGAAAACATTAATTCATACACATCTATGTTCGAGAATGAATTTAATGTATTCACTAATATTTGTAGCAATCCTGAAGGGAGGCGTGGCGTGTGCTGCCTTGTGAGCAAAACTTCCGGAATAGAAGTTAAAAACGTAACAAAGGATGACGAAGGCAGACTTTTACAACTCGTTTGCGACATTGACGACAAAGTTGTGAATATTGTTAATATATATGCTCCTAATGGCGTCAGTGATCGGTCAATTTTTTTCAATGCTCTCGATCAATATACATGTATAATTTCGGACGCTATTAATGTTATTGTTGGTGACTTCAATTGTAAGCCAAATCCAGCGTTAGACAATTCTAACAATGTGTTTGCTAACATTGATCAGTCTCGCAAACGCCTCCACCAGTTTATGAATGCTTTTCAATTTGTAGATGTTTGGCGCAACCAACACCCTCATTCCAGGCAATTTACATGGCGTCGTTATGATAGTATTAACGACATCCTTTTCCAAAGTAGAATAGACTATGTTCTCGTGAACACATGTTTTCTACACCACTGTCTCTCCACAGAAATAATTCGTTTTCCTTTTAGTGACCATGATATCATCAAATGTCATTTCAATTTTGAAAGTGTTGTAATGGGTCCAGGAATATGGAAATTTAACAATAGTCTCCTAAATGATGAAGCATATGACTCCGAAACTCGGCAAATTATC